AAAGAAAATTAATTGATAATCTAATTAAAGAGAAAAATGAATGTAAAGCAAAAATTAAGGAAATTAAATAAAAATGTAAAGGTGGGATTAAAACAAATTATAACAAGTGTGGGGGAAAATAAATAAGATGAGTTAAAGAATAAATGGTAGGATTGAAGCAAATTTAAAAAGAGTTAAAACAAAATAAAATAAATTTGGAAATCAAATTTAAAAGAAATCAAATTGAATTATGAGTAACAGGACAAAAACAAATTTTCAAATGAAATCAAGGACAATGGTTATAACTCATGTGAGAACACGTCAATCCTATAAGGATTTGAATTGGGTCTTTGGGTCATTTAATTGGAAAAAATGGATCAAAATAAATAAATAAAATAAAGGTAAAAGAAATTCATTCAAGATTCATCCATCGATTTTCATAAAAAAACTTAAGGAATGTTAAATCTATGAAGATTATTTAAAAGCCTTTGTTACTCATTCCACAAAGTTTTTAAGTGAAATCTAGGTCGTGCTAGTCTGAAACAATAAAAATAAAATAAAGATAACAAATAAAAATATTGTTGATTTTCACTGAGAAACCTCAAATCTAAATCTATGAAGATTAGTTTAAAAACATTTTTTCCTTATTCCACGATTTTCTCTCCTCTAATAATTTTTAAAAGAGAAAAAGAGAAAACAAAGACAAGACCGAAATTGAACAAAGTAACAAGCAGGGTTTCAAATCGTGGTCGCGGTTGCGTTATCGGTCATTTCGTTTTTACCGCGATTGCGGCCATAGCGGGTGGTATTGCGCCCGTAGCGGGCACTATTGTGGGTGTAGCGGAAGCCAGCGCTACCACGATATCGCGGGCGTTATCGTGGTAGCTGGGCATTATTTGAAACCCTGGTAACAAGAACAAAAAATAATTACCTTCAATCAAAAGCTTTATTTTATTGCTCGTATCTCTCAGATTACAATCCTTAGCTTCTCAAAACCAAAAATTATCCCAAATAAAAAGTCGTCATCCTTTTCCATAACAAGAGTGCCTATTTATAGGCTCCAAACACTTTTAAAGCAAAAAAGTCTTAGCATCTTTTTCGTTAATGTTAGATACACTAATTAATAAAAATATTATTAACATAATGAAAAGATCCTAAATTTTCATAAATAAATAATGGAAAGTATAAAGCTAAATTTATTCACAAATAATCAATAAAATAATTGAAAATTTGAAATAAATTAAAATTCATGTATTAGACCCGTATCTAATTTTCTGCACGCATTGTTTTCACTAAAATGATCGTATCTTGAGTTCCTGATGTCTAATTGAGGCTTTTCAAAATGAATTGAAAAGCTAAATGAAAGCCGGTTCTATCTCAATAAGACATCATAAAACATTTGGATCTTGCTTGAGAATTTTTTACTATTCGAATAATGTCCCAGACTTCAAAATCAACTTCAATAAAATGTTTTGGGCCTTCAAAAAAAGGTAGGCAGAAAAAATTGGGTATTACATATTCATTCTTTTCTTCTTCATGTTTTGGTTACTACTTGTATATGATTTGTTTCATTGAATATTCATTTAATGCAATTTGATCCACATCCCATTCTATTTCCATGTTTCTTTGTTTAATTCCATAATTTAGGTATTAATCTTTTGTCATATGTTAAATTCATAGATTAAATTCCCTAAATTTTAGAATTAATTAGGACTTTGAAACTTTATAATTTAGTCACTCATTATAACTTAGCCCTTTAAATTATTGACATTAAGATTAGATTCTTTTAGTTTAGTCCTTAACTCCAATTTCTAAGTTTAGAATTAAACCTTAGATTATAGGTTCCTTAGTCACTAATATTAGATTAGAATAAACCTTTTAGGTTTAGTTTCTTAAATAACCTTTTAGGTTTAAATAACTCTTTCAAAAAAATATCATAAATTCATAATTGGATTAAACAAAATGTTTGTTTATTTTTTTATATTAAAAAAGAACTCTCTTAGAGAAACTGGACGTTCGGTTTCAATATTATAAAATAAATAAATAATTTTCAAGTGACCAGTTAAAATTCAATTAGGTCTCATTAAGTTTGAAACCAATGAACACCCATTTTCCCTAATAATTTGGTTAGTTGTCTAAATTTCTAGTTTTTTATTAGTTGTTTCTTGTTTTCTAAAATTTTTTAAACGACAATATTTTAGTTATTTCAATTAAAATATAAGAAATGATTCTCTTAATGAAACTAGGAAGTCAATTTATTCTTTAATTAGAAATAAATAAATGGTATCAGCTTTTTTTTCTAATTAAAATCTTAAAAAATATCAAATATAACACTCATCTCCCGTATACCTTTACGTATACGAGCTACAAATGTCACATCACTTTTAAAACAGTTTCCCATTTGAAAATCTGTACAATTTTGTTTCATTTTATAAAACCATTAGAATTTATTTATAATTAAAACATGCATTAACTTACATATAAACATAAAAAGAGATGTTCCACATTTTACCGTTTTACAGTAGTTCAATTCAAAGGTTTTACAGAGCGTTTTCACTAAACTTATTACATGCCAACTAAAATATATCAAAAGTAGACAGGTATGTCATACTATTACTGATTAGGCGACTATGACTTGATGTCCGATGATCTCCTTACTCAGCTGGTATTCAACCTACGCGTGAAATGAACACACGTTAAGTATTACTTAGTGAGGCATACATAATCATAAGCAGCTTATAAACATAATATAGGGTAACAATTCTAATATCGAGTAACTTTTTACAATTTATTGTAAACAACTTTGCACCATTGGTGCTATTATGGTCCTTACCCCTTTCTATTCATGTTCATTTATTAGAATGCACAATTAGTGTCTGTACGGGAATTCATCAACTCATGATGAATTTCGTGGGCTGCACACATAGTGCATGTACGGTGATTCATCAACTCATGATGAATTCCGTGAATATGCACACGAAGTACCTGTAGTACACATAGTACTGATATATCGATGCAATATATATTTTTAACAACATATCTTTATAACCCTTAATGTACAAAATAAATGCACTCACCTGACTATCCTCGTTATGTATCCAAAAGGTAAGGATGATTACTCTAGTACTTTGCCTTTGCCCTTAGTTTTACTTGTTTCGGGAGCTTGGTTCTGATCTACTCAAGCATCCATAAACACATATACCATACCCAATGTTAGAATATTTTCTAACCATTATACTTAAACAATACTCAAAAGAATATATCATTAACTTTCTATACCAATATCAGCCTATTTTTAACATTTCTCTCTACATAGTATCGATACTACTACCTTGGTACCGATATCTCCTTCTGGTATCGATACCAAAATTAAGTTCGATGTTGCCTGGTATCGATACCCTTACCATGGTATCGATACTACCATACTATGGTACCGATACCCCCTTCCGATATCAATACCAAAATTAGATTCGATGTTGCTTGGTATCGATACCCCTTATCATGGTATCGATTCTGATTCAATCAGTATCGGTACTGCTCATCTAATTTATCTCATTTTAGCCTATAGTATCGGTACTGTTTTTAGCAGTACCGATACCCTTACCCAGAATTTCCAGTTTTCAACTCGATTTTCATCCCAATGTGGTCAATTCTCGTTATATTTACTCATACAATACTATTAAACTCTTCCTTAACTATCCATACTAACATTCCTTCATTTAGCCTCTTAGAACATCTAAAATCATTCAAGAACATTCAATTCTAAGAATCAAACCACTTTTTCTAATATGTTCTTAATCCCATCTAATACTTCTAATCTCTCATTTATCTCTTTGGCAAGTCAAATCTACCAGTAAACCTCAATAAACACCAATATACTAACATGCCATTTCAAAAACCCATTTTCTAAAATCCCTAATATTTTCTTCATTTCATGCGCAAATGAATAATAATAAAAAAATTTAGAATTTTCAAAATTTTAAGAATCAACAATATTCCATTATTTCGATTAAACATAAGAAATAATTCCCTTAATGCAACTAGGGAGTTAGTTAGTTCTTTAATCAGGAATAAATAATATCGTGTGATTTCCCTAAAATTCTTTTAAATAATTCTATTTTAGAATAAAAGAATCACATATCAAAACTCGAATTCTTAATTTTTTAATATTGGGACAATTTATAATTGACAATACATATTCTGGGTGCTCTGTGCGTGCTAATCTTTCCCCGAGCTTAATCGACTCTCGAACCCAAAATTTCATAAAACGCATACCGACTCTGTCTTTTTAAAAGTTTTTATTAAAGTTCTTTAAAATGACGTTTTTTAGGTTCTCAACATACCTAACCCAAAAGTCGATGATGACTTCATACATTTCCAAATCTTTTTCATACATTTCCAAATCTTTTTCAAACATTTCCAAATCTTTTTCAAACATTCTTTTGAGTTCTGTCAAATGCGTGACTCTAAATTAAGCAGAGGAAAAAAGTGTCATGATAGTGTGCTTACATCCAAATTGGGTTTTGTGAATTATAAAACAGATTCTTCTCTATTTATTAAGGAAAGTGACAACTTCAAAGTGTCGTTAATGGTGAATGTTGATGACATCATTCTTACTAGAAATGATGGAGTTGAGGTTGATACTATTGTGAGAATTATTAACTCTGAATTTTCATTAAAAGACATGGGACAAATTGAATTTTTCTTAGCATGGAGATTTAACAGTCCTCGGTCTTGTGTTAAATCATAAGTGTTATATCCTTGAGTTGTTATCAAGGGTTAGCATGGTTTTCTTTTTCTATTTTTATTGCCCTCCCGATTTTAAGGCATTGTTCTGATTAATCTAGATTGATTCACACCGCACACCTGATTTTAGTGAATGAGTCTCCCAACGAGAATTTTATGCATAAACAAGGACTTGAACCCGAAATTTTATTTAAACGATATCAATCTGATTACTACTTGAATCAACTCTATTGATTAGCATGGTGTCTTTTAATTATACTCCTACTCCAATTATTATGACGCCCAAGTTACTCGTTGATGAAGGGCAGTTGTTTCATGACATTCACTTGTATAGAAGTATTGTTGGTGGATTACAGTATGGTAGGATGACAAGACCGGACATAGCTTTTGTGGTTAATAAAGTTAGCCAATATATGAATTGTCCTAGGGATGCGCATTGGAAAGCTGTCAAATATAATCTTAGGTATTTAAGCGGTACTGTTGATTATGATTTAGTGTATCATTCTTTTGAAATAGTTGATCTTGTTTGCTATTCGGATGAGGGTCGGGTAGCGTCGATTGAAAATAGACGCTCAAGTATTAGTTACTGCATTTTTCTCGGGGGCTACCTAGTAGCTTGGTGTTCGAAGAAGCAAAGTGTGGTGTCAAGGTCAACTTGTGAAGCCGAAATAGGAGTGTTGCTAACACAGTCTCTGAATTGGTCGAGTTGGAGCAACTTTTGGCTGAGATTGGTGTGTCTATTGTAGGAAAACGGTTGTTTGGTGCAACAACTCTTCCATAGTTTCCATGTCACCTAATCTAACTCATGCGCGCTGTATACACCCGTTTTTGACCGGGTTTAAAATATATATATATATATATATATATATATATATATATATATATATAATATTATAATAATTAATTCTTATTATTAATTACTATTATTATTTTATATATATATTGGGTTAGTTATCTACTTGGAATCCCATGAAATCCGGTGACTTTGAGAGAAATGGCTTTGTGGGTCCTTAAAAAGTGGATTTTAGGTTGCCACTTACTGGATAAGGATCACGACACCATAAAAAAAGAGGGCAGTTGAGGTTGTTATCATCTTTCTCCATGATTCTCGACATGCTAGGCTTGTTATATAAACTAGTTGTAAAAATGCAAATAGGGGGGTTCAAGGCAATCCAATTATGGATGGGGCCTACTTCATGGGAAGATCTGAGATTCTTGCTTGGATCAACTTCGCCCCTCTTCATTTTCTCTCTTCACCATTGTCACACTTTTATAACCCCACTGCTCCAACAACACCAACGGAAGTAACGTCAACCCTGTTAATGGAAGAACCAGCAGTTCATTGCGTGGGATGCGTGGACTTAAAGCATCGGTGATCGAACTTTCCCAACCATGGTTTACTCCGATGCTTTTTTTGGTGGCTGCCGAGAAATCTTTCGTGTATACGGTGAAGCAGGAACCGTCTTATTTGCTTGGTATCGTGCCTCGTAGTGGACATGATTCACACGAAGTTGATGAAGATATGCACTTGGTTCTAGCTCATCAAATAGTGTTATGGAAACATGGCAAATGCTGGGAAGGGAAAAGGTGCTTACATACTAAAAGGAAGATTAAATGAGGCTGCACAAACGAAAATGGAGGGGGCGATTTGGAGGAGAACAGAACACACCCATAACGAAATGGTTCCAATGGCCTCCATTCTCACTCAACCGGGCATCTGATGCATTAGAATCCATCGATTCAGAGCCGTTGCACCCGTATTCTCCATGGTTAAGTTTCTTAAACCCAACAAAGCAGTCATCGTCCTCCAAGGTCGATAAGCCGAGCGCAAAGCCATGGTCGTGAAATCCTTTGACGATGGCACACGTGACCGCCATTACGGCCACTGTTTGGGTTGCATGGATAAAGAAGTACCCGAGCAAGGTCATCCGCAAAGACTCCAAGATCTGCGCCAATCATCTGGTGTTGCCGATGATGAGGTGGAGCAACATGCTTCGATCGAGTTTATGGCGGGCTTCTGACATTGCAAACGGTGAATTGAAATATGAAGTTTTCTACACTCGTTTTTCATCCCTGGAAAGTACGTATATTTTATACTTGGCTACCATGCTAAATTCTTGTTTAATCTGTTAACAGTTTCCTAAAGATGTTAAATGTGTAGTTTTACATCATCAACTTCAACACGATTGCGTCCGAATTTTTTATTGTTATTGCCTTCCTTTTTATTTAGTTTTTTATATTATCTTATTTTATTTTATTGTATTTTTTCTTTTTTCTTTTTTTGATTTATTTATTATCTTTTATCTAACATTTTTGACTCTTTTAGAAGAATTCCAACTAATCAAAGGTAATTAATTTGAATCGGGTATTTTAAATTTAAATTTAATTTTTTTCGCAATCAAAGACAACCGATAAATTAATTGGTACCGAAAGGGCGGTTCAAGGGTGCTAATCCTTCCTTGACTGTAACCGACTCCCGAATCCGACACATCTTTGGTAAGATGCAGATCAGGTAAGAAATAAGGTATCCGATCTACCTATTTAATAAAATAAATGATCGGTGGCGACTCTAACCCAATCAATTCAAGTCGAAGCCCAATTTCAGGTCCAACCGAAAGACTGTTCCGACAGCTTGGCGACTCTGCTGGGGATAGGTAAGTGAGTCAGGCCATAATTAATTTCTGGTTGTCTTTTTTATGCGAAAATTGTAAGTTTAAATTTTAATTTATTTATTCGGTTCCGATTATTTACCTTTGATTATTTTTCAAATAAATAGTTGTACTAACATTTTTCAATGATTTCAGATTTTTGAAAAGTTTCTATCTCAGGCTCTATACCCGAGCTCCGAACCCTTTTAAGTGGGGGCGAAAGAGACGCCTTCGTGTGAATTTATTCACCGTATGGGCCTAGCAAGTAACCTTCGGGATTCATATACCTTATGCCTTCGTGTGAATTCATTCTCCGTATGGGCATAAGGGAATGTTTCCTCTAGAGTTTAACTTAGTCCACACAAGCTTATAATGGGCTTAGGACTAAGGGTCTGGCAAGCCCAAGGGGGCACCGACAAGGGGAACTCGAGTACCTTTTTAGAACCTAAACCGGGAGAGTACAGGGAATTAGAGCCCACCCCAAAACCTCATTCCAAACCCTAGGCTGTTTTATTTCCTGCTTTATTTTCTGTTCAAAGCATGCGAACTAGACAAACATGTGGTTAGGTTTTGTTTGAAATTAGCATGCAGGATAGAGATCATGTCCGGGTAGGAATAATAAGCATGTGGGGTAGATATCATGTGGGGTAAGACTTTTCATTTTTATCATTTTTTATCATCATTATCTCACTAACTTTTTTTTCCTCCTTTCATTTTTATTCTTTGGCATTTTTTTTATCATTCGCATCATTAAAACGAGGTATTGATCCACCAAAAATGTGTTTGTTAAACGTAAATAATCTGCATTAATGGACAAAGGGGTTATAATACAAAGAGATAAAAAGCTCAGAAGTCCAACCGTGATCAAAGAATACTCAGAGGCAAAAGTTGCAGGGGCAAGACGAGGAAATGGTTACTGACCAGGAGAGTCCTTTCGAAAATTACGAGAACAAGATGGTGAAACCCTAGCTAAGCCGGAAACCATTATTGATTAATTCCAAGAACAGGTCGACAACCTTCGGATTGAGGGCTCCAATGGCACTTTCGTTTGGAACGAGCTCGGCATAGAGCGAAGGCCGGAGATGCAGTCATTCGAGACCTTTTTTGGGGCAAGCAACTCGTTACCCGCACAAGTTTAGCCAAAGGAACTGGAATGGTTCGACAAGATATTCAACCGGTGAAAAAGCGGAAGACGAATCAACTTTCCAGAGGCTATGCAGGATCTATACCATCAAAAAAGTTTTTTGTCTCTTCAGACGTAACATTTTTGTCCCCAATAAGGATTATTCAGAATAATAGGCACATTTTTCGGATCAATGCCTCGAACATTTCATGCATCATACATTCAGACATATTGTGCATTTTGTTATTTTTTCTTTACATTCGCATTATGATTCCCTTTTTTCATTACATTCACATGTCTCATCAAAAATGAGAACATTCCGATCCTATGACATATAAGGAGCTTTACCAACAGTTGTTTGATGCACACGTGGTGTCCATGAAGCCCCGTACCCCAGGTAGTATGATGAGAACGCTCATTGCGAAAATCATAGCGGAGTCCCAGGGTGCACTATTGAGAATTACTCCACCATCAAGAGAGTCATACAGAAAATACGTAACAAGAATCGGATCGACTTCAACAACTTGGGGGCATCCAAGTGAGGCATATCATCTCATCATTTGAGCCATTCTGTTTGGATTTGTTTTTTCATTCTTTTCTCAAGTTTTTGCAAGGACTTTTAAATAAATTTATGTTGCTTTAATGATGGCGAGCAATAAATCACATTTGCAAACTTGCAATTCTTTGAATATCATTTGAATTAAGAAACTCTGTTAATGGTTTAAAGTTACGGATCTTTGACAAAGTAACATGATTTAAAAAAAAAGGACTTTGACCTTATCCAAAATATACCCTCAAACACCATACCCTACTCTTGTAATCAACCAATATACCCTTTTCCTTTCATAAGGTGCGGACAACACGGGGCATCATTTGCATATGACAATTACTATGTTTTTTATTTAAGACGTTCAATGATGATGATGATCTTTACAAATGAAAGAGTCGAGTAGGTGAATCCAGTTTAGGTCAGTTGCTTGAAAATTGAACTCTAAAGATGAGATTCCTTGACTTTCAAAAAACACCTAGGCTATAACAGGTTCTTCTTGACAATCTTAGGAAATTAAATCCGTAAAAACTGAGCTATTCCGCTAAGGCAATTGGTTATAGAGGAAACTTGAAAGCCCTGGCCTTATGAGTAGATTACGTTCAAACCATGACATTGCTCGGACACTTGGCAATTCGGTGTTTGCTCCACTGCTCTTGTCAGGCTGAAGACTCTGTGATGAGATGAACCCTTCAGTTAACTTGATAACTGTGATTATAATATTAAGCTGTCCCTCTAAAGCAATTGGTTAAACGCCCCGGCTTTATGGATTCAGCTAGTCAGATAACGACAAATTAAATCAAATTTATCTAAGCAAGAAATTTTCGGTAAAATGGACTAAGGGAGTTAAGGAACACCTGTTATAGTCAACTACACACGAGCACTCAAGAATTTCATTTTTAGACCGATGTTTTTGCACTGCCTTTGTTAGAGGAGCCTACAAAGCTTGAACAAATAGAAGATTTCAGAGGACTGAAATAAAAGGTCTAGTAAGTGATCATGCTAGTTGTGTCATTTTGTCCGCACCCAATTGAAGTGCCAAAGCATGTTGCGATATTTCAAAAAAAAAATGACATTTTTTTCCCCAAAACCTTATAAAGGAGGCCAAGCTAAAGCCAACCCATCCATTTGACACTAGTCAAAGAGCTGTAACTCTGAAAACGTTAAAAGAGCTATTGATTCCTTTGATATTCTTTGAACTCACGTTTATAATTTGATTCAATTACGAATAATATTTTACAGCATTTTTATCGTTTTCTCTCCTGAAACAAGAAAAATGAGAAAAACATTTTCAAACAGAACAATCTCAGATATGAAATGTCTATAAAGCCCAAGCTCGAGAAGCAAATGGGGCACGATCGATTCCATGGACCAGATTGGCAGACAAAGTACGAAGAGATAACACATAATTCATTCATGTTGCATGCA